ATTTGCTGTATTTTATTTACATTTTAAATTTACATTTTATTATATATTTTTTTTACCTAGAAGTTGTTTTTAAACTGATTATAATAACTATAAGAAGTATAGCAAATTTATGTCACTATTTATTTTCTCCTGGATAAAATATGCATTTATTTAGGAAGAAATTTAAATTGAGTAAAAGAAAAAAATAATATTTTTAATTTTTAAAAGGATGCTTAAAATAAAAATATAAAAGTTCTAGCATTTTTTCACTTATTATGCCATAAATTTGTAAGTGCATTCTTTGGAGAAATAGCTTTCAGAAGACAAATGTACCCATATTTATATGGAACTTGACACATTGGTCAAATATTTAACCTGATTTAACATTTAATCAATACAAGATTTTTTAATTATAGCAAATTATAAAATCATACAATTTTTAATTTTATCTTAGTATTCTCAACAATCTTACAGCTTAATATTCTCATAGGCATTTTCATTTAAAAGCTAAGATTAAAATAAGTGATTTAAAATAGCTATTTTGTTCTGACACCATAAAATAAACAGAACTTTATTTTTACAAGATTTATTTAACAACCACATAGTTAATAGAAGCATTTTATTACATCAGCATTGATATATGCAACAACAGACTTCATGGCAAAGGTGTGTGTTTCAAAATAGGCGGCAATCTTGAAATTCATAATGTTGAATAACTACAAACGTACATTTATTTTAATCAATATAAACCCTATAACATAAAAATTTAAAAAGGTTTGAACCTTTAACAAAAATCTCTGTTTCATTTGGTAATTGATTTTCCATACTGAAAAACTCATTTTTAATGCAAATAACGTTTCTTCTGACTTTGTCCATGCTGCTACCATATCTGATTACTTCTACTCAGAGTGGGTTATTTTCTAAAGGAGGGTTTGCAAGCTGAGTGTGTGTGTATAAATGTATTGCAAAGGTTTTAAGGGCAAAAATAGTGTACACATTAAAATGAAGCAAATTTTTCTTCTTCTCTAAAATAATTCACTTTCTTATTTCAAAACTTAAAGCCTGGTCAAAATTTGGATTAATCACTGAAACAAAACAACAAAACAATTATTTACATCGAGACTTAATTTCTTTTTATTATTATCTTTTTAAACTAATGCAACAACATGTGCTCCGTATCTTTATTTTAATTAAGATTTCTCTCTTTATTAGATCTTAGTTATCTAGAGAAGTCAGGTCGTCTTCTCCACTCACCTGTTTACACAAAGGTTTTTCACTTCGACTTGCAATTTCGTATTTCCATATAAAATTCGAGAAAGGGTGGAGAAATATAACTACAGAAATAATCTGAAAATTTCAAAACACGGATTTTTCATTATCCTCCAGAATAGAAGATATCATCCAAGGAGTGCTCAAAATCAAAATCAGGTGGCCCTTTCAAAAGTAGAATGTGATGAGCGCTTTTACATTTCACAGATAAACGTTTCTAAGAGCTTAATGTTTCCTCCGCTTATTGCCACTGTGCCATCTGGCTTTTGTAACTGATGTCCTACCTCTTTGAGGCAGCAGAGGGCGTTCTGGCATTGTTGACACCGGATACCTCTCGGTGCACCGCGCTAGCATCTTGTTCCCAGGAAGGAAATATACTATTTCCCTGGAGGGTTGTCCTTGAGTATCTCAACGGGTCAAGCTGTTCCTAAATTATTCCGAGAAGCTTTAATTTCAGACCTAGATGAAAGTTGAGATTGTCAAAGGACTCCCACGGCACGCCGCACCGAAGTTCTCCAATTGCGAAGCCTGGGTTGTTTTATTGCAAAACTGCCGCACATAGAATTTCTTTCATAGCAGGAAAATTTGTAATGGGCATCAAACCGGATGATTATTTTCCAAAGAAATAGAAAGTACATAGTTTTAAAAATCTAGAAACATCACAGATCAATAGCCATTCGGTTTCATCTAGGCAACCGAATTACTACATTGTTTCCCTTTTTAAGCAGTATTTTAACCTCTCTCATATCACGTATTTCATTTCTATTTAGAAAGTAATTTTAAACTGATCAAGCCTTCTGAAGGACGAGTTTAGATTTTCCTAAACAGGTAGGATTAGGCTGAGGGGATTAGGTTTGCTCCTGTGAGGTAGTATGAACTCTAACGGAATCAGGCAGGACGATTTTGCAGCCCTGGACCAGCTTTGCGGATTACGCAAGATGTGGATGCAGGAGATCCGCGCAATTGGATGAATACTGGAAGGAAAGCAAGGCCGCCATGATAACGTGTAATGCTTTAAATTCATTTCCGCTTCCAACGACCGCTTTTAATTGGCACAAGAGGAATATTCCCAACCCTTTAATTTTGTAATTCGAGCAGCCCCTATTTTCCAGTGTGCTTTACCTACCCAGTCCCAAATTGGATAAAATTAAATATAAACCAAAGTAATCGATGAATGTGAAAGACCTGACTTGCAGAGTTCTAAAATTTGAGGACAAAATCCGTCCTGAGGCACGGGGTGAGAAGGCAGCTCTCTGAGGATACTGCACCTGGCCACTTTATTTCATGAATTTTAAGATATATTTATGTCCCGTGTAAAAAAAAAAAATAACTGAATGAACACATATCTTTTAGATCATTGTCAATGCATGGTCCATTGTTATACCTGGATTAAAATCGGTGTTGCTGCCGCTATTGTCCAACCTGAATTATTTTGTCTGTTACTAATTTTAACAGCTTTTATATTTGTGAATTTATAGACAAACTTAAGCAAATGTATAGAAATTTCTTTTAAGAAATAGCCAGCCAGGCTGGCTACGAATTAGTAGATTTTCCGTCTCTCTCTCTCCCTTGCCATTTTGATTCATTACTTAGGGAATTTAAATTTGTATTGTTGGTATTAATATTTTCAATATCTAAGAACGATGAAATATGCTAAGAAATTTAGATTTTTTAAAAATATATCAATACTGACCCATCCAACCTTCGAGTCCTAAGGCGAATTTTCATTGCATAGGATTTAGTAAACTGCCCTGCCTCTTTCCGTCGCGGGAGCTATGAGGATGCGGCTGTGGTCGGTTTTTCCGCAGTGCGGGTTTCAGGCCTCCTGGCCCTCCAGTGCCTCCCGCCGGCAAGGATGAGCCGAGCAGGCTCCTGCGCACCGGAGCGGTCTGCAGAGCTCAGCCATCTGTACCCGTCTACTAAGGCTGCCCAGTTACCAAACCTGAACGAAAGTGGCAGCCTGCGTGGGTTCCTGCCCTGTTTCACCTGGTGGGTCCCCGACCCACCCCTTTCTAGTTAAGCCTCGAGGCCCACACTTGAGTCCATTGCACGTCCCTTTGATGACCAAGTCAGCACTAAAATCCGCGGCTGACAACCTTATGTTTCTGTTTTAAGGAAGATGACTTAAGAAAGAAAAGGATAATAATAAAGCCTTCGTTCTCCTCAATTTCCTTCTTGCAATCCTGCTCACTGAAGGATTTACGTTTCAGCCTAAAGTGGAAATTGTTTCCCCATATACGTATACTGAAGGTATGTGTGCATTCCTACGTGAAGACCAAAAAGCATCAGGCAAGGGTAGCAACAGCTTGAGGGAACGATTTCAGTAAAATATTGTTTTGCTGTATGTGGCCTTTCTCTCTTTTTAAATGTTATTTTTCAAATTACCTAATATCTTACTCTTCTTTTGAGTAGGGACCGGACGGTCCTATTGCTTTTCCAGTTTGATTACAGAGCGAGAAAAGGGTCATGGTCAGCACCGCGGACAGCGCCAGGCAAGGAGGGCGCGGCTACTTTGGTGCATCCTCTTAGCCCCTGTCCTTTGTTCCCAGCCCCTGCAGGCCAAGGCAGAACAAAGACATCAAGGCTTGCTTTTTCGGCCTGGGCTTTTCTTTAGCTCCAAAGTCGTGGTGTGGAACTACTACCTCAACATAGTCCACCTCACTGGCTTCCAAATAAATTAATTTACCTAGTCCTTCTAAAGTTTCTGACCTGATCCTTTCCCCTTATCCCACTCCTTTGGCCGATTTGGACATTACGACAATGCCAAAACAAGAGAGTTATCTTGGCCTTTTAAAGCCAAGCATGGACGCCTCGAGATTGGGAAGAGAAAGGGAGAAGTCAAGGGGAAATGCGGGCGGCAGGTGTTCTTCAGATCTTTCCAAAGTTTGGACCTTTCATTTGCGGTTTCTTGCGCAGTGTGGTCAGGACCCTGTTAAATGTTACACCTCTCTCTTCCGTTTTGTTTTCCCAGCTTGGCCCAGGACTGTAGACAATCACACTCCCTGTTCTTAAAAGAACCAGTGCTTTCTAAATGCTTTAACTCTCTGGAATATTTGCACGGACGGGAACTACTGCTCTCCTGACAGCTGTCAATGAAGCTTCCCTAAAATTCTCCTCGGAGATTTGCCTGCGGATTTCCGCGGCTCTAATGGAAAAGTAAGAGCCTTTCCCTTTCGAACACTAGTTTGCTTCGAGAATCAGTCCAGGGTGGGGGTAGGGGGACATTTATGCGGCAAGGGATGGGTTCATCCTACCACCCCCTAAATTCCTTGCAATTGCCTTTTCCCCTTTCTGACCCTGAGATGCTTTGGTGTCTTTCAAGTGCAGCCGTAGGCTCCGCTCTTGGCATTCACCGCGTGCCTTAATTGTATGACATTAAATCAAGGTCCGCTGTGAACACGGAGGGCAGAGCCTCTGATCTTGATCCGGAAAGTATCAGATCCACTGCGACTACCACTCTTCTCTCCCTGCCCATCCCCCCGCCCCCCCCCCGCCCCCGGCTCTGAGTCTCTACTCCCAGAGTCATAACTCATAAGCCCAGCTCCTGTCTCTGCTCATCTCTGACACATCTGCCAGAGCCACTGTTAATTAGTCTGTTCCATGGAAGTGTAGACGAGTGCGTGTGTCTGCGTATGCATATGCATATATCTCCATGCCATTTACAGCACACGCCTAAAAACATACATACGCCTATAAATCTAGTTTTCAAATGACGGCGTGGATCCAAGTTAATTACCCCTCTGGTACAGATCTAATTTTGTAATAGTGTTATTTTACTGAATGTAATTAACCCAGTTGGTCCGCCCTGAATCCTTTCTAAGGCACTTGTAAGGAATGGCAGGTTTTTAAGGACCACGCCATTGCATGTTCTCCGTCAGAATCGTTGCCAATCATTTTCTGCTGTCAGGGATGAAATCTAGCACATAAAAGAGAAAACAAACATGCCTGTGTGCCTGTAAGATAAACACACAGATATGCCTGGTCTCTGTGTCCTCTGATAACGTTACCGCGGGTTTGGTTGGGAGATTTTGGGAAAAGAGAGTCCGAGGGCGGGCTGGGTCATCTTTCTTTGTAATGCGGAAAAATTAACTCAACCGCACCTGCCTAGTCCCGAGAGAGCTGGGCGGCCCATCTGGTCTGGCTACGAGTTTGCTGCGGAGAGAAAAGGCTGCTCACTAAAGCTTTCCCACTGCCCGGGAGCGCGGAACTCGGGTCTGGGCCCGGAAGGGCGATTCGGCTCAGGGCAGCGCAGCCGACTCGCACTCCTCAGCCTGTGGCCAGAGTCTGCGGCTGGAAGCGCCTGGGCCGAGCGGAGGGAGGGCGAGCAGGAGAGAGGAAAGGGTGAGGGAAGTTGACCTCTACGGGCGGAGCCCTCTGCGCAGCGGGCAGGAGGCAGCGGGCGCGACGGCTCTTTTCATGGCGTCCCCTACGGCGTGATCGGCCCGAGGAAAAGGCCCGCTCCCGCTCCAGAGTCCGAGGAAAGGAGAGAGAGCTGAGAGCTGGTCTTGCGCAGAGACCCCAGAATGCGCCCCTGAAAAACAGAATCAAAGCGCAGTGTTAGGGAGGTGGGAGAGAGGAGGGGGAGGGTGGGGAGCAGGGACACGAGGCGGGAGGGAGCACGCGAGGGACACAAGGTGACGAGAGGACAGGACCCCAGTCGGCCGGTCGCGACCTCTGTCCCCAGGCTTCAGGGGGACGCGGAGGGGACCCTGAGCCCACGGAGTGCGGGGCCCGCAGGCCGGGGGGAGGAGAGTGGCGCGGTGGCTGTGAGCGTAGGTCCGGTCTGCGGAAGTCCCAAAGAGGGTGCACGCGCTGCGGACACCTCCGAGTCCAGAGAAACGATTTCGGGAGCTGGAGCCGTGAAAACGCGCCCGCAGATAGTCCTGTGCAGTTCCAGCCGTTCCTGCATTCTGCACCCCCTTTCCCCAGCCTCACCCCCTCCCTTAGACCACACGCCAGACCCGCACTCTCCAGTCTCCACCCCTCTTGGTTTTGGACCCTGCAAACTGCAAGAACGGCAAGAAAATCGAAAGGATCGATGAGAGAAAGAATTACATGCACCCATAGCCCTAGAAATCCAGAGCGAGACCTGCTAGCCCTGCTCAAACCTGGAGAGAACCAAAACGTTTTCAATCGCTGCTCAGCGCGTTCGCAGAGGAAAGAAGAGGCTGAGAGGCTTCTGTGGTATAAGGTGCTTTAAGGTGGGAGGTGGGGGTAGGGAGGGGGTGGGTCGGAGCGGTCCGGTCTTTCCCCCTCGCTTGCTGATCCAGAATTAGGGATTAATGGCTCGCTCCAGCCAAACAAATAAGGCATCTGCCTTCAGCACAAGAGGATTACACGGGCTGCTGACGTCACCAGTCAGACAGATGTTGGCTCCCAAAGTCCTGAGCAGCTCGCTGTGTCCTTGAAACCAAAGAGCCGCAGAAGGCTTGCAGCCCCCAATTGCAGAGCCTGGGTACAGCAGAGGGCAAGAGCCCTGCCCTTGCCGACAACCCCTTGGCGTCAACCCAGTGCCCGTAGGCAGCTCCCTAAGACGTCGAGCTTCCAGCCTCTCCAAGCGCTCCCTTCGCCGTCCTGCTGTCAAAACCCAAGCTCTCTCAAAACAAGCCAAAGTCACCGTTCTCAGCTGCCTCTCCCTAACATGGAGACAAGCGCCCACAACCCGTCGACACCTTATCTAGATCCCGCATTTAAGCTCTCGGGCTCCTGTTCACTCACACTTGGTTGGCCAAGTAACAGGAAAATAAGCACCTTAGACCGGACAGAGCCCACGCTCCAGCTGAGGGACCGCCTCTTAATTACGTGCGCAAGCAGCAAAAGCAGAGCTAATCTGCATCTCCTCTTTTCAACCCCGCAGCCTTCCTTCCCCCCAGGCCAAGGTTTAGGTTTATGCTTAATCTTATCACGAATGCCATGCCGGACGAATGTGCCTTTCAAAACAATGACTCTTTGCCAACATAACTCAGCGTCCCAACCAGAGCCCTGGACCACCACTAGGTAAATCACGGGGACCTCACCATGGTCCTGATTAGGACACGGAAAAAATGTCATTGCATATTCTTCTCAAGTACTTTGAATACGTTGTCTAAAAATAAAATATTAAAATAAATGTGTGTGTTCAAAATATATGTAGCATCCAATTCTAGCAACCTGCACATTCAAAGAACTGCAGTTTCATTTTATAGCCAAAGCTGATGAATAAAGATCAAAAATTACTTTATTTATAAACTCCAAGGTCCTTTTAAATTGATGTAATTTTAACTTAATTATAAACTATTTTAATTTTTCTAACCTGCATTCTGTTTTTGCTTTATATGATTTTCCAGGCCTTTACAGTTCACACTAAAGTCAGGTTATGAAATAAGCCAAAAGACATATTAAACTGGAAATTTAAATGAGCAATTTTGAATAAGTTATGTAATCCACAAATGAAATTGTTTTAAATGAATTTTAATTCTGTAAAGGAGTAAAGACTATTCAAACAATGTATAAAACAAAATAAGCTGATCTCCAGCACAGAGCCACACTGAACCAATCCTGTGCCCCAAATCTAATCAGTATATATGAAAAAATCTGTGACTTTCTTGGAAAAAAAATAAATGCTTGCTCACAACATTGCACTGTCAGTTATAGAGTACAATGCCTACACAGGGGTAAAAGGAATAGCTGGATTATATCTCCATTCATATTATTCCTGTCTATCAAAGTGGCATTTAATTTTCCCAATTTTATGCATTTAGAAATTCAGTCACTGATAAAAATCAATTTAATTTTCTGTAGTGTCATTCAGCCAATGCCAGTCTGAAATAGTAAAATTTCTCTATCCCCATTCTGTTTCAAGGCCTTATGAAAAACATTCTACATCTAAAAATGATAGATTTAAATTTTATATGTACCAGTACCAAAAGGTGGGCTTTATCTTATTTTAATTGGATAAATAATACATACTATTCAAGGCAGGATAAAAACTGAACACATAATCATTGTTTCTTTGAAACTTGGTAGAATAAGTTTGAAATGCCACATTTTACCAGTCTAAAATTCCTCTTAAAGACCAAAAAGATTATGTTTCACTTCTAACATGTTTTGAATGTAAACTTCCACTCAGGTCTCAACATTTTATTAGAGTCCTTTTTGCTCAGTGATTTAATATTAGTTCGCTGTCCATGGTCTTGATCCACATGAAAGAATATGCTAGTGTTACCTTTTGAAAAATGAAAGTCACAACGCTTCTGCACAAATTAGACTCCCTAGCATTTTAAAATGATATCAAAAGGGGGAAACGCTATAGGCTTTAAGTTCTCTTCCCCATCCCAGTTGTTTTCATTTTTCTATATTTGCCACCAAATTGAAGGTACAGGAAGCAGATAGGGAAAGTTTGCATTTCATTATTTTTGAGTTGACAAAACCACCACTCCATTGAAAGATCCAAATAATTGTAGTAAATAGGAAATAATATCTTTCAACCTGCAATATTCTTTTGGCGGTTTTCAAAAGAGACATAGACATTCTTGTATAGGCATCCTTTTCCACTTTTATATATGGTTTAACAAGTGCGGAAAAATTACAAAAATGACAAATTCAGGGGCAAAAGCCAAACAACCTTTTCAATCATTTCTCTCTCCATATTTATATCGCTATATAGAGGCATATAGATAGCACACACACACACACACACACAGGCTAAGAGCATTAAACTAAATCCATCTCTAACGTCTTACATTTTTTTTTTCTAGCAAAGCATATGTTCCAGTGGCTAAGATGAGGAATAATTCTTCCATCCAAAATAGCATTTCATCTTCAGTTTAAAAAACAAAAGACTGACCCGGCAGAGTAACATTTAACATCTCTTGGGGTTTCCTTGAGGGGGAGAAAGGAGAAAGGGAAAGAAATATTCTCTTTCAAAAATGTAATTGTCTTTCGTTTTTTATTTTCTCCTTCACATTATCAGGAAAAATATGTTTTAAATATGTATGTATATATGCATATTTAAATAGGCACTTATTTTCCCAAACCCCAAGAGCCGCTGTTGATCTTTGGAGGACACCGATCAGCACAAACCGGTCATATCTGTGCTTTGATACAAGTATCCCAACGGTAAGAAAACAGGCCCTTGGTTTTAAACTGAGGTCGGCACCCACGCCAGGCCATGGGGCCGAGCCTCAGCGATTCACACTTTCCTGGGCGTGAGAAGGCTACTTTCTGAAGAAGTATTTCGAACTTGGGAAAATTCTGGTACCGGAAGAAAATGGCCTAAACACAATAGGACTCGCCATTTTCTCCTTGTGAAGCACAAAGCGCTTGGCGCTGCCCGCCACACAAAGAAAGCCTGGGCCCGCGGAATTCTTGCACATTTTCAAGAGGCCAAAAAATACCTTCTCAGAACCACAATTTCTCCCTCCTGGGCCCCGTGAGACACACCCTCTCTCCCACCTTCATTCAGTCCTGGTCCCAAGAAGATCCCTTATTTGAGATGGAGATAAAAGACGCACCGAAGGCGCGATGCTGGCGTGCGAGCCAACCTCGGCAAGAATAAGTCCTGAAAACCGAGGGGCCCGACCCGCGGCTGGCCGAGGCTCCATTCTAGGCCCGGGATGGGGGAACACGGGTACCCTTCCTCCTCTTCAGATCCCTCCTTCCAATTCCATTCTGTCCCCCAAGTGCGTCTGGGAGCCCGGCGAGCTTAGGGATCTCTGTGACCTGATTTCCATCCATTGCCAGGAACCAACCTTACAGCCCCGAGCTGAGCCGGCGGCTCTCAAGGATGCTCGCGACGCGGGAACTCCTCCACTCAGCGCCTCCCGCCGCCCCCCGCCCGCCACCCCAAGTCACCGCATCAAAGTCAACCAGGATCGTGTTCTGCACGCCCACAACCGGCTAAATGCTTCTCCCGCTCACATGCGAAAAGTGCAAGCTTCGAAGAAGCCCCTGTGAACCAAAACACAAGCAACAACCCGACTCACAAAGCGAACACTCCCAGCCCAGCTCGGGACGCAAAGCCCGGCTACAGCAGGAAAGGATGGTACTTACAGCCGGCGTGCGCTCGGGTAATCCGCGTCGCAGCCCGTGCGGTGTGTTAGTTGGCTTTTGAAAAAATCACTACACACCTCTACATCTTTGATTTTACACATTTTCCACCGGTGAGAAGGAACGAAAACAAGAATCTTGTAGCCTAGTGGGAATGGGGGAGGGGGATGGAGATTTTCATTGTCTACGCTCGGCACACGCAGCCCAAGGAAAGATGCTCACTGCCTTTGGAGCTCCTTCTACTTTCTGCTTGAAATTCAGAAGCTTTCAACGCAGTAAAGCGGGGGTTTGGTCTCCCTCCCTGCCTCCCTCCCTCTGCGTTCTCTCTCTCCTTTCTCTCTCTCTCTCTCTCTCTCTCTGCCCCCCCTCTGTCATTTCCTTCTCCCTCCTCTCCTCTCCCCTCCCTCTCTCTTCTCAAGCTCGAACTCTCTCTCTTTCTCTCTCTCTCTTGCTTTTTTTCAAAAGAGGGCAGGTCGCTTCCTGCATCCCAATGAGTTAAATCAGTCACTTACTTCTCATGCATCAGCAGCCTCTTTAACAACCCGAGGGCTGCAGGCACAAAAGAGCATTTAGCTGCCTCCAATTTGTGTAGAAGGCCTGTCCTTAATTTGTTTTTGGAGTATAATTAAATCATGTATTTCACGTAATATAAAAATACCGAATTCTCAACTTTAGTGAATGAACTGCTAATGGTAACCTTTGAAAATAAATCCCTCTTGTTGATGTTCTTATCAAGGGCCTAGAACGCCCCAGAATTGCAGAAGCCTAAGGTCTGGGCCCCAAACTACCTGCCCCTCCCCCCTTTCGCACGTCAAGGTCACAGTCATATGATCCCCCATTGCTTTAAAATGGAGTCTTTTTATCAACCCGTCGCCCTGGAAAGGAATTAAGTCTCTTTTATGGGGTGGGAAGATCTGAAGGATTAATAAATAAATAAATAAATACATCCTTAATCTGAAATACACACGTCAGCAGAATCAAGCCTGATCAGACATTGGGATGGTGGCGTGGGGGGACTGACAGGGCATGTGAGAGTGAGTGGTTTTCCTCTCCCCCTTATCCCCTGGCGAATTTTGAGGTCGCTGGGTTTTGCTTGGGTTTCTTTCAGCGGCTGCGTGGGCCTTCTGGGAGGACAAGGCCGGCGCCTTTTTAGCTCCCAGAGTATCTGAGGGGTTCTGATCTCCCGGACACCGCCCAATGGTCAGGGGGATCCTGTGTATGACTCCCCCTCCTCTAAAGGGGCTGGGGTACAAAGAGCAACTCTGCCTTCCTGCAGTTTCTCTTTCAGGAAGAACTCCAGGCCTGGCCATTGTTCCTCCTCAATGAAGGGGGCCGAGGGTGACAACAGAGAGAGACCTTCTCTTCTCTACACTCACCATCCACCTCCTCCCTCACTCCACTCAAGGCCACTGCTGGGGAGAAATTTGGGAATATTTTCTGTTTCAGGAGAGACGCTTGTCTGGAAGATCATGAGATGTAATATCATGAATATCTCGGTTATCTTTGTATTTTCTTCAGTAACATTCCGTTAAGTCGTCAGTGGGCTCCCTCACCCCCTCCCATTTTCCAGTTCTCACAGCGCTTGTTCGGAAACATTGCACTCGGATGCGAGAGAGGTTAGGACCGCAGATAACCGCATTTAGTTTCATCGAAAGGGAATGTAACAATATAACTCACCACTTCCCGCCTCTGAATATTCGCTCTTCTACCCTAAATCGCCCTGGGGTTTTGAGTAAGGCCACATTTCACCTTGAGCATTTATCAAACCGTACTTGGCTGTTGCTGCTACTGCAGGAGGACGCACAGGCCGCCAACACCCACCTGACATCTGCTTGAAATATCCAACAATATTTCCAACGGGGTCGTTTGCAAAAAGCAGAAAACCAAAAATGAAAGAAGAATTTAAAAAAATACAGAAATAATATAAGTGTGTGTATAATATAATCCCAAGGTGTTGGGGTTGGGGGCTCCAATTACCTAAGACAAAACATCTCTGTGGTTGAGCCCAGACCAAAGGCCTCACCGCAAGGGTGTTTTATTAGCGGCGAGAGACCACGGTTTTTAGGAGGCACTACAAGAAATGCGCATCACCCTGCTGCCCTTTATCTCCCATCCATGATTCTCATTCTATCCGTTTCCAGTTTATTGACCTGGGATGCGGGACTGCTAAAGATCGTCAACGACTTGCTGAGCCTAGGGAAGGCAAAGTCACGCGGTGAGCACTGGGTCCCGCCGCGCGCACTGGGTCCCGCCGCTGGGAAGGTGCGGCTCTCTGCTCTGGTTAGCAGCAGAATCTGCTCTGTGGGGTGACGACTTCAGACCACCCCGGGTGGGCACTTTACCCAGCATCCTCCCCTCTCCCCCGACTCTGACAATGCTAGTTTTGCCTCATCTTCAAGGGCCTTGGAATTTCAACCTTGTTGGTGGGGAGGCCTTAGGAAAGAACTCAAGCGGTGGGCGCGTTTCCCACGAATGGGCCTCTCCCTCGCCGGCGGCTTATTCTCAGTCGAGGCCTCAAAGGAAAACTTGAGAGAGATCACAGGCGAGCACCCCAACATTAGTCCAAGACTTTCACTCCCCCCACCTCAAACAGATGGCTGGGCCGTAACACCTGCGCGGCAGCCACAGCCGCCGCCTCCGCGCAGCTCTCGGGATGGGGATCACAGACTCGGGTCCAATAAGGTCACCGGCCACCCTGGGCCCAAATCGCTCAACTCCACCCCACCTCACCCCACCCCCAGCCTTAAGAACCTTTTTCCGGACACTTTTCGCTTTCGATCCCCGCCTGGCGCCCTATGCCTAGGAAAGTGAGCGGGTGATTCCTTTCTAGCGCCAAGTTTCGGGTTTGCCCTGCTCTCAAACCTCCTCCTGCCCTGCGCACCTCGTCGCTCAGGCCTGGAACTTATGAAAATGTAACCCAACTCATTGCCAGAAGTTGTTGCTAATTAGTGGATAATAAACTTCTGTAGCCAGGGCACAAAAGTCTTTTAAAAGTGCAAAGGTGTTCTTTGTTATGGCATCAGAAAAGGGATTAGCATATCAATTGGACTGGGGGGACCGGACAATGAGCCTCCTCCCCCTGAGCTGCCTTCAGTTCGCCGCCTGCCGCCGCCTCCTCCTCTTTGTGTCCTTCCTCCTCTTCTTCTTCCTCTCGCTGCTCTGAGAGCTGTCAAGGCTTGGTCGGGGAGCTCTGGGCGGCGGGCTGGGACCGAACGGGCAGGCGCAGTGCACGCTTCCCGCCGCCCACCAGTCTCCGCGGCCTGCGCGGCGCCCACGTCCACGCCCTCGCCCCTCACTCCACGCCCCTAGCTGGGGGCTCAGCCTAGCTCCGCGCCCAGGCGCGCACCTGGAGAAGGTGGAGGCGCGTAGGGACGCGGAGCCAAAGCGCAGCGGGTCTGGGCGGCCACAAGGGCGTGGACGAGGCCTGCCTGGGAGGGCGGCCTCGCACTGTCCCACGAGGCGCCCCCTCTCAATACTTGCTGCCCGGGCCCCGCAAGCCGGCGCCCTTCGCCTCCCCCAGGTGCGCAAAACATTAACCGATTTGCAGTGGTCTGCCCAAGGGCACAGCCAGCTCCCCACCCTCCTCCGGCCTCCACGCCAGACCTGCTGGGCTGGCGACCCACGCTTGCATGCGTTGGGGGGAAGTAAAGACCCTTAGGCCCGAGGCAACTGTTTCCTCGGGAGCTGTGGGTCGGTTTGGGTGGTCCCGGAGCCAGGTGCCTGCCAAGGCGAAGCGGCTGGAGCGGCCCAGGCCCAAGCAGGCCTGGTTGTCTCCCCGCGACCCCGCCTCGCCCTGCTGCCCCCACCGGCACCCCCTGCCCCAAGCCAGTCCTGCTGAAGTCGGCTCCTCGGGCAGAGGCACAAATTAGAAAGCTTGCCCCGGGCCAGGTGCAGGAAAGCAAAGCATAAGTAAGTCTCGGGACTGAGATGCGGCCCTGGCGGGCAGGGCCTCGGCGACCATTCCCGCCGCGATCTTGCCCGGCTGCGTCCGCCCGGGAGCGCAGGGTAGAAGCGCTGGTGTCTGCTGGGCCGCCCAGGGCTCGGGGAGCGGAGGAGCAGGGAAAGGCTCGGGGGAGGAAGGTGAAAGGGGGACACTGGCAGCGACGGCGCGCTCTGCCCGCCTGCGGACTAGCCGGACCCGCCACTTCCCAGCCGGCCGCGAGTAGCTGCGGGCCGGGCCGACTGTCCCTTGGCCGCGAAGCCCGCGCCACCCCGGCAACGCCGGCGAAGAAACGCGCTCCTTCCTTTTTCTTCTCCCCTCCCCCCTTCCCCTTTCTCCCTAGAGGCAGCTCCCGTCCTCTAAATGAATTAAAAAAAAAAAAAAAAAGAAGAAGAAGAAGAAGAAAAAAGGAAATCTCTGGGGCTATCCTTTTTCTACCCGTCTCGCCTCCTCCTAACACTGGTGTTGGTCGATCAAGCGCCAAACTCACACAAGTTTCCCCGAAA